TGAGACAAACACTACTGGCTCTGTCAGCCAGTACATTCATTATCTTAGAAGGGGTTTTGCCTGAACAAAGCACTGAATTTGACCATGTAGCACACAGAATATGGGACCTGTAAAAGTTGCCTTGACACCTTATTTCCCAGTTCTTCCTCCCCAGAGACTGATCCTGCTTCAGAGTGATTTTCTTTCCAACAGCACCATACACACCACAGCATGTTCTGGGTTGTGGGCTGCCTTTTTCTTTTTTGAAGCTGCCCAAGAACACACATGCTGGGGTGTGTGATCATTGCTCTGCTCTGGGCATGTCAGTCCACTCTGCCAACCCACACACCGACGTGCTCGCACTGCAGAGCCTCAGCGGGTGCATCTGCCATGAAAACCAGAGTCAATAAATTTCCTGTGTATCAACTGGTTTGATTTAAAACACTCTTCTGAAAACAGTTCAGCCAAAGGCAGTAAATATTGTTTATTGCTCAGCCAAACCAACACTTTATTTTGCAATAAGTTGAGTGTAGGAGTGCCTGTAAGTAACGATCCAGTCAATATTGCCACCAACAATGCTGATCAATGTCTCTTTTTTCTACCACCCCTTTCTCCCTCACTTCCTTGCTTTACAGGCACAGCATGCCCAAAAAAAATCCCTGTACACTCCATGATTTTACCTTCCCAACTCATCTTTAGACACTCCTGACTTTTAGGGGAGAGCCTGTCTATAGTGAGCCCACTGGGAAGTGATTTTAAAGGCTTCCATCAGTCCAGCATCCCCTGCCTCACAAACCTGCTCCAACAGGGGTTTGGGGCTGGGTGCTCCATGGGAAAAAGGTTGATGCTGTCTCCTAGCACCAACCTCTTGCAGAGCTTTCCCTTTGCTGCTTCCCATGCCCTTCAGAAAATTCCCTCCTGTTGAAATCAGGCAGGAATAAGATTAACTCGAAAAATTCCTAGTGACTGGAATCACCTGGAAAAAGAAAAGATGAAAAATACTTGAGTCTCCATAAAAGGGGAGTGAGGCTTCACATCTGAGGCACAGTGGGACCCTTGGCTTGAAGTCCAGGCAGTTTAAATAGATGAGGTCTTTGGGTGACATTTTCCTGCAAGATTTTAAGTAAATGCCTTGCAGTAACATTTGAGATCAGGAGTTTTTTTAGTTTCCATGATTCTTTTCCTTTTTTAAGCCTCAGACACACACACACAAAATATATTAAAACGAGCCCAGATTAGCTGAAAGGTCGGCTGGTTCCGAAACAAACACTGGGGATTTATGGTGGAGGCTCTGGAGCTCCAGAAGGAAGCGGTTCATCCCCGCCTCTGCCTTGGCTGGGAGGGGAGCGTGGATTAAAACCTTGCTGGGAGCAGCAGTGAAGGTGAGAAGAGATGGTTTTGTCATTCAGTTTGTAGACAGGGAATTCACAAATCCCCCCAGGGCATGCGCTGGCAGCAGGGAGAGAAAAGAGGCGCTACAGCAGGGGCAGGAAAGGGGTGTGGGGTGGGAAAGGGGGGGATATTTTGGGTGCCTTCCTGGGGGAGAGCAGGGCTGGCCTCAGGCTGGACCAGCCCAGCTCTGTAAGAGCCAAGTGAGGACAGAAGGGAGAACCTGCCTGTGTAAAAATTTTGTGGAAAGGGGGAGAGAGGTTGATCCCTGCCTGGAGGACAAGCTCTGTGCTCAGCACCCTGCCTGTGAGAAACAGAGCTGCCTGAGAATCCTTCTGTGTGGCTGAGGCAGGTTTGACAAGGAATTATTAGAATTTACTAAATTAATTAGCTGATAGAAATGTGCTGCTGAGGCCTTTCCTGATGGGAGCACTCAGCCCATTTTTGGGGTGGTCCCCACCAACTTTTGGGGTGGTACCTTCCCCGTGCACTTTTAGGAAAAGAGAGGTTTGGCCATACAAACTGCACCAGCCTGTTGAAGTGCTGATTGTAGATCAACAGCCACATTATTTCCAGGTACCTGCTCTTTCAGTTTGCAATTAGAATCAGTTTTAAATTATATCTCTTGATATTCCTTGCCAGTGCTTGGCATGGAGGGAAAGTGGAGGAGGCAGCACATGGAGCACTCAGGAAGAGCTGCTGGGGCAATTCCCTCCTTGTAGCCGTGCCTGAGCATCTCCTGAGTGCACAAAGATGAGGCAGCAAAACCCAAACCAGAGCATTTCTGCAGACAGCTATTGATATAAACGTGCACATCCACACTGCAAAATTAGACCAGCAGATGGGTATCTTGTTTGTGGGAATAGCAACAGCTTTTCACCAGGCCAAAATGAAGTTACAGCACCAGAAGGGACAATAACTCTTCGTTACAGATGAAGATCCCAAAGGAACTCGCTCACTGCATCTGTGGGAGAGCTGCTTTAGTCCATAACTGTGGGTTTGTGGTTTAATCACGGGGCTCTGAGCTCCCCCAGCCTGGGGGTTGAGGGCTGGGGGCAGCCAGGAGAAGGTTTGCATCCCAGCTGCAGCTCTCCCTCAGTACACCCCACCAACTTACCTCCTGTCCCACTCTCCTTTTCCAGGATAAATACTCTTGATCCACCCCAAGACCTTGTCCAAGGCTCAGGAGCAATTGGGGAGACCAGCTGGGAACAGCAGCTCTGACAAACTCCTCTCAACTAATAGAAATTTCCTAATAGAAGAGCCTAAATGGAAGGAACATTGGTGTTAAGAGATTATTAGTCATTCTCTAAACTAGAGTGGGATGAGTGCCGGAAAATATTTCTCTCTAAATTGGTATGAATAACATGAATAAATAAATCTGATTTTGGTTAGTCTTCCATGGCGCTCTTATTGGATGGATGTAAGAGGAGCAGAACTGGGGGGAATATTTACTCTTGGTGGATGGCTAGGGAAAGTTTGCTGTTGTATTCATGAGCTTATTTGATTGACTGAAGAATTAGATATCTTTCAGCTAGGTAAGAGCCTGGGTGAACACAGAGCCCACTGGCTGTTGGAAACAAGCTACTCAGCATCTGCTAAGGAATAGGGAAAATTATGGCCATCTTTGGATAAATCAGTGACGCCCTGAGTGGGATTTTCCTCCATCTCCTCTCTTCATTTTTAAAGATTTTTCTCTCTGAGGTGAGTGAGTGGACAAACAGCTCACCAGAGATTTACAGGGTGGCTGAAAGGGTAACCCCATCACAGACCACCCATCCTTGGGGAACCTTTCCCTGGGGAGGATCCATTTGTCACCTTCAGCATCACCACAACACCTCCACGGCCCCTGTCCCAGCAACAGGGAAGCTCATAGAGGACCCCACATCCCCATATATGAAGATATTAAGGGAAAAGTCGCTGATAGGGACCAAATCAAAGCAGCTGTGCCATGGCACTGAGGGTGCCCTAGCAGGTCAGGGCACGGGTAGGTATTTATAAATGTGTTTTCCCCTTCATTTACAGGCATTTATCCCAGCAGCAGCAGGAGCTGAGTGGATGTTTGGGAATCATCAGTACCTGCAGTTGTACAGGAGAGTCAGAGCAGCCCTGATCCCTCTCCTCACCCTGTGGGATGCAGGAGGGGGCTCAGCCCCCCGGGCAGCCCCTTACCAGCCTCAGCCTCCAGCCGTGCCCGGCTTAGAGAGGGATGTGGGGCAGCCTCAGTGGGGAGTGGCTGTGCAGCCCGGCCCGGGACCTCCTCCCTCCCTCTCTCCCTACACGGGCCGGGCTCTGGGCACCGGGCTGGGGCTGCAAAACCCCTCTGGGGAGCGGGGCCGGGGCACGGCGGGGAGCGGCGGGGAGGGCGCGGCGGTGCGGGGCGGCCGGTGCGTGTCCCGGTGCGTGTGTCCCGGTGTCCCTGTGTGTGCCTGTCCCGGTGCGTGTGTCCCGGTGTCCCTGTGTGTGCCTGTCCCGGTGCGTGTGTGCCGGTGCGTGTGTGCCGGTGTCCCTGTGTGTGCCTGTCCCGGTGCGTGTGTGCCGGTGTCCCTGTGTGTGCCTGTCCCGGTGCGTGTGTCCCGGTGCGTGTGTGCCGGTGTCCCTGTGTGTGCCTGTCCCGGTGCGTGTGTGCCGGTGTGTGTCCCGGTGCGTGTGTCCCGGTGTCCCTGTGTGTGCCTGTCCCGGTGCGTGTGTGCCGGTGTGTGTCCCGGTGCGTGTGTGCCGGTGTGTGTGTGCCGGTGTGTGTGTGCCGGTGTGTGTCCCGGTGTGTGTGTGCCGGTGTGTGTGCCGGTGTCCCTGTGTGTGCGCCGGTGTGTGTGTCCCGGTGTGTGTGCGAGTGTGTATGCCGGGGTGTGTGTCCGTGTCCCGGTGTGTGTGCCGGTGTGTGTGAGTCTGTGTGTACCGGAGTGTGTGTCGGTGTCCCAGTGTGAGTGTGCCTGTCCCGGTCTGTGCGTCGGTGTGTCGGTGTGTCCGTGTCCCGGTGTGAGTGTGCCTGTCCCGGTGCGTGTGTCGGTGTCCCGGTGTGCGTGTCTGTGTCCTGCTGTGTGTGCCGGTGTCCCGGTGTGTGTCGGTGTCCCGGTGTGTGTCGGTCTGTCCGTGCCCGTGTCCCGGTGTCCCGGTGTCCCGGTGTGTGTGTCGGTGTCTCGGTGTGTGTGTCGGTCTGTCGGTGTCCCGGTGCGGTGCGGGGGCTCCGCGCAGCGCACACACACACAGATACAGACACACTCACACACACAGAGACAGACACACACACAGACACACAGACACACTCACACACAGAGACACAGACACAGACACACACACACACACACAGACACAGAGACACAGACACACACACACACAGACATTCACACTCACACACACACAGACACACACGCACACACACAGACACACACACAGACACTCACACACACACACAGACACACACACAGACACTCACACTCACACCGTGGTGTGCGGGGGAGCCGCAGGGAGGGAGGAGGGATCCGGGGCCGCTCGTACCGGCACCGAGCGGGGGGCGCGTCTCGCCCTCGCACACGCGCGGCAGCCCCGGGACCGCCGGCTCCTCCCGCCGCATTAAAAGCGGCCAAGTTCCGCGCCGGGGGCAGCGGCGGCTCCGGGCGGTGCTGCCGGGGATGCACCCGAACGCCACGGCCCCGGCCGTGCCCGCGGGGCCGCTGCAGCCGCAGCCCAGCTATGCCAACGCCAGCAACCGCTCCGACCTGCTCCCCAAAGTGCCCGACGAGGAGGACCTGGACGTCAACACCGACATCTACTCCAAAGTGATGGTGACCGTCATCTACTTGGCCCTGTTCTTGGTGGGCACCGTGGGCAACTCCATCACGGCGTACACGCTGGTGAGGAAGAAGTCGCTGCAGAACCTGCAGAGCACCGTGCACTACCACCTGGCCAGCCTCGCCTTCTCCGACCTCCTCATTTTCCTCCTCTGCATGCCCATCGAGCTCTACAACTTCATCTGGGTCCATCACCCCTGGGCTTTCGGGGGGGCCGTTTGCAAGGGCTACTACTTCCTCCGGGACGCCTGCACCTATGCCACGGCACTCAACATCGCCAGCCTCAGCGTGGAGCGCTACATGGCCATCTGCCACCCCTTCAAAGCCAAGAGCATCATGTCCCGCAGCCGCACCAAGAAGTTCATCAGCTGCATCTGGATCGCCTCCTTCCTGCTCGCCATCCCCATGATCTTCACCATGGGGCAGATCTACGGCAAGGACCGGGATCCCGACTCCCTCATCTGCACGGCCATCGTGGACACCTCCACACTCAAGACGGTCATCCAGGTGAGGAGCCTCCTCCCGCGGCTGGCCGAACTTTGCGGAGCCGGGCGGGGCAGGAGGGAGAGGCTGGAGCGGGATGCGATGTCCCGGCCATGGGATGTCTGGAATGGGATGTCCCGGGCAGCCCTGGCGGGACGCACCGGCCCGGGGTGCGCTCAGGAGGGATTTGTGGGGGTCTCGGCTCTGCCCGCTGCTCCCCTCCTGCCCCGCCACTCTGAGCAGAGACCTTGCACCGGGGAAAATCCTGCTCCGTGCTAAATCCGGCCCCTTCCCGTGCCCGGAGCCTCCCGTGTCCCGCTCCGCAGCTCCTGGTGGCCGATCATGGCCAGAAACCCCCGAATTTCCACCCTTTCCCCGCATTTTCTGCATCTCCCCCCTTCTGCTGGAAAGCGGCCAGCAAGTTCAGGGGAAATAAAACCATCTCTCCCCGTTCTTTGTGTTGATCCAGAGCCCTTTTCTTCAGTGTAGTGACAGCTCCTAATTTCAGAAAGTTTTGGACACAGGGTGTAGCACAGGCTTCTGAAAAGGAGCTGCATGGTGGAAGCCAGAGGCTGCTATTTTTGCAGTTTTGGGGAAATCCGTAGCTGGTTTTAGCAGCCCCTCCTGACTTCTGCACGGCTTTGCTGCTCTCCACACGGTGCTAAATCCAACACACCCATGCGTGGAAGGGATTTCAGCATCAACACTTGCCGTGCTCCAGTGCTCCGGCGGGTTGAGGCATTTGTTTACTGGAGCATTAAGCTTGAAAAATGTAAGAGACACGGAAGGAGGGACAGAAGAGAGCAAGACACCAATCTCCATAGCCCCTTGGCTGCCAGGCTTGCATGTGATAGCTGCTCAATTTTTCATTTGGAACATGAATTTCAGGAGGGGTTAATCAGCGGGCAGCTGGATTTTAAAGCTGCATGGGTACTGAAGTCGCTGGGATGTTCCCACACTTGAAGGGAGGGAACTTAAATGGAAATGAATCAGAACCATTCCTTCCCACTAAAAGCAGGTGAGGGTATGTGCATTTAGATTTAAGACCAGAGTCGGGAAATGTTTAGACATAACTCTCCCAGTTTCCCCTTTGTATTGTTCAAGTAAACCAAAATCAAGCCCTGATAGAAGCCCTGGATTTCCTCTGAATTTTATCACAATCCCTAACTTTCATCTGAGGTGGTGAGGGCTGCATTTCTCCTGTAGATGCCTGGAAGGTTTTGTCAGTGGCAGCCCAGTGTACTTAACCCAAATTCTCTGCTCTCTGAGGAGGCTGGGCCATCTGATTTGAGAACAATGGGACTGAAATGCATTATTTCCACTCATCTTCCTTCTAGGATTAAACTGATGCTCGTTGTTACCATGGTAGGGCTAAAACCAGAGGATTATTTCCCAACCATATCTTTGGAGATTACACTTTAAACAATTCCCAGTGTACCTTAGACTCTTGCAATTATTCAGGCTATACCTTATCCCATTAGCCAAGTCAGGAGTAGGAAGACATGAATATATTATGTGTATGTGAAGTTCACCTGCAGGCTTTTCCTCATATATATATATCTTTAATTAACTACTGGATTAATTTAAAAGTTAAAAGAAAGAGGCAGCTGTTGGAGGAGAAGGAAGGACCAAACCCCAAACTGTGCCAATCTGTTCCTTCTCGGGGGATCTGGCTGCAGAAGCGGCTTTGCCAAGCCAGGAAGGTTGTTTCATGGTTTCACTCCATTCCTCTGAGCACAGGGAAGCATCACACAACGTGAGGCAGGGCCCTGGGCCGGGGAGGGCTCTGGAGTGAATAAGCAAAGCAGCTGCAAGTCAGGTTTGAAGTGCGTTAATGGAAACCATGGCACAGCGTGTGAGCCGGCCCGAGCTGCGCAGAGGTTTAAAAAAAGACAAATGATGGAAGAGCCAGGAGGGAAAGGGCAGTGCTGATGTGCAGTGTGACGTGCAGAGGTCTTGCTGGGTGGCAATCTGGAGCCCTGGTCCTTCGTGGTGGGTTCAAGCTGCTTTAGAGCATCTCTGCATCTCTTTGAATTCATTTTCTGTCTTTAAATTAAGGAGAGCAGTGATGCACTTGCTCGAGCTGGCAAATCACTTGTAATAAATCACTCAACACATTTCACTCCTATTCCTGTTTGGCAAACTGTCTAAAGCAAACTGGCATTTCTTTTTTGGAAGCCATTAGTTCTCCAAGTGGTTTTATGTGTTGACTGATTGAAAGAAGTTCAAGTTCTGTCCCAGAACAGGGCATTGTAACCACTTGTACCCTCAGAGACCAGTGTGAGCTAGGGTTTTGCTGGGATCATTACAGGAGAATGATCCTCTCTGAACTGGAACAAGCTTCCTGGAAAAAGTATTTCACAGAATCACAGAATATTCTGGATTGTAAGGGCCTATTTGATTGTAGTAATTCAACATCTCTGGTTTTGAAAAAGTTCCTCTGTATTTGCTTTGAGTATTCAAATTTTAGTGGACATTCCTGAGTGGAATTAGACTGAATGTGAACAATCAGGATTCCTTGTAAGAAAAATAAAAAAAGTAATTACTCAAACAACATTAATGAAATTTGGTTCTTGCACGTATTAACCTGCACCACTTAAGCTCCACAACAACTCTAAGAGGTAATGATTGATATTCTTCTAGCAATTACAAATTGTTCAGGGCAGCACATAATCAGGAAGAGCAGCAGGTAAGGCATTCTGCAGGGTGACACTGTGTGTCCCCACCATCCCTACACCAGGCACACCTCACCTCTTGCCATCGAGGCATAAAGCCCTGTGTGGCCTCTAAAATAGAATTCTTAGAACCATTTCCCAGCTTTGCTCATCACTGTCCTTGCAGCTGCTTTAATCAGCCTGTGGATCTGGTTTATTATGCATTCTCCATTGCCAAGTTTTCATGTTGCTTCTGCCAGTCAGGGATGTCTGCTTTGGATTTTGGCATCCACGTGGGATCTGGTACCAGGAGTAAGTTCCATTATAGCCACATTATTTAGGTCTAGCAAACCCTTTAGCTGGCAGACATCCCCTGAAAAGCACTGCTGCCAGTTTTAGGTTCTTTTTCCACATAGATGAAACACTTCTTAAAGCCATACAAGTAAATTCATGTTTTCATGGCACTTCAGCTGGGGGAGGTTTTAAATCTCCCTGTTGTGGCAGCAATAGATATGAGAGTTCTGGGCAGGATGAGAGGTTTTCCTTGTTCATTTTTGAGTCTGTGCCTGTGGGGCTGGCTCTGGAACCAACTTCCTCAAACTGGGATCCCACTGAGTGTCCTGATCTACCATGTGCAGCCCTGTGTGCCATTAGCATTGCACAGCCTCAGCCCTGATGTTCAAAAAGCTCTGAATTTTACTGGTCAGGTGCAGTGCAAATTGATTTTCCTGCTTATTACTTTCTTATCTCATCCCTGCTTTCTGGAGAGGTTCACAGCAGAACCTGGGGAAGAGGGGAAGCTGAAGGAAACACCTCCAATCCTGGTGCACTGTCAGTCCCCACACACAGAGCTCCTCAAACTAGAATTCCAGGAATTCACCCTCCAATCCTGGTGCACTGTCAGTCCCACACACAGAGCTCCTCAAACTAAAACCCCAGGAATTCACCCTCCAATCCTGGTGCACTGGCAGTCCCTATACACAGAGCTCCTCAAACTAAAACCCCAGGAATTCACCCTCCAATCCTGGTGCACTGGCAGTCCCCACACACAGAGCTCCTCAAACTAAAACCCCTGGGTTTCATCTGAGCCTGGGCTGGGCACAAGGGGAGCTGGGTGTGAGCAGCTCCTGGCCCCCCAAAATTCCCAGGGGAAGGTGTTTTCCCACTGGTGTGGCACAGCCTGTGCTTGGATGGCTCTGCTGTCCCCCAAGTCACAGCAAGTGCCTGGAGAGTGTCTGACACATGCTAATGTTTGATTTGCACAGACAGCTGGTGTGATCCCATTTATTAAAACACATGGCAGCAGGCCCTGCTCCTCCAGAAACTGCCACAGCTCCAGCAGCAGCTCCAAGTTGCTCATTTGTGAGGGCAGCACTTGGGGAACTCCTCTGGCCCTCCTCACCCTTTGGGAGGATCTCTGTTCCACGTGGATCAGCCCAGCCTGCGTGGCTGCAGCTCCCCCATCCCTCCAGAGCCCTTGTTTATTATGTTTTATGAAGCCTCTCACAGTTTGGATGATTTGTAGAGTAAATAACCCTGCACACTAAACAACTGTTTGCCCAAGTGGCTCCTCAGGTTTATTTCTGCCTACATTTCTTCACACAACGCCTTTGAAGGGACCTGCCAAAGAGCCTCAGGTGTGAAGGGGATGGAAAGGAAGGACCAGGAGTCTTGACATCCATTGCCATGCTCTCTACACGTTCTTTTAAGATCATCTATTTGATTTCCATTTGTGTGAGAGGCTCACAGAGTTATTAATTCCATGCATGATGTTGCAAACGCTCCCTTGCACTTTCCCCTGGTATCTTGTACTTCCTTGTCCCAGAAAAAAAAAAGAAATCCAAAATTTCTGCCTACGTTTCTTCATGAAATGCCTTTGAAGGGACCTGCCAAAGAGCACCATGTGTGAAGGGGATGGAAAGGAAGGACCAGGAGTCTTGACATCCATTGCCCTGCTCTCTACACACTCTTCCAAGGTCATCCATTTGATTTCCATTCGTGTGAGGGGCTCACAGAGTTATTAATTCCATGTGTGATGTTGCAAACGCTCCCTTGCCCTTTCCCTGGTGAGGAGCACCTTGGCAGGGTGGTGGGATGTGCTCACTGCTGGTGCTGTGGAAGGCAGGGCCCTGCCCACAGTCAGATCTGTGATGCAGGGTAAATAAACATGACAAGCATTTCTCCATATTATGTGAAAATAGCGAGCCATAAAACCAAGTGGCTGAATTCTCTCCAGGTTTGCTGGCAAATCCTATCAAGGATTAGTCAATACTCCAGGAATCCTTGTTTATACTGGTATTGACTGAAGGAATTGAAGCTGATTTCTCTTCCTTAAGTCACAGCCAAACTCCTACTGTGGCTTTTAATAAC